CAGGCACCTGTGCTGCTGCCTGTCATCTGTCAACCAGGGAAAAATACATTGGCAGCAGTCCGTTGGGGTCCACAGAGTTTTTAGGAAATGAAGTTACTATCAGTGGCAGTAGGTAGGCAAGAAAGCAGTGATAGCTGGAAATGCTCTTTCTCCAGAGCTATAAAAAGCACTGTGACAAAGATGAGCACATACAGCTACTGACACTGTAGCCCAATGCTCACTAGGTAGCAGTAGTCTACCCTGGTGATAACCCAAATTCTCTGCCTCTTCATCCGGTTTCGTGGAGTTAGGCAAGAGTGGAAATGTACCTGAGGCTGAGGATGTTGCTGTTCCCTTCTGTCACACTAGCTTTTGTACACAGAATAGTTGAGAGAACTCAAGTTCTCCAAATACCTAAATGTATAGTGTTGCTATTTCAAAATGCATAGTAGTATCAGCTTTTCCAAATAGAAGCTGGTTTTACATGAGCAATTGGACAGTGGTGGAGATCCATCACGGGGCTTTGGATGCACATTAGTTCTCAGAGCCTCCTCTGCTCTCCAGTCTCTAATAGCTTTCTCTGCAGTGCGCTGCTCTTTCGAGTTGCGCTAATGCAGCTTTGTCTTGGGATGCAAATCATAGTTAAATAGTTTCACCATAATAATTTCATTTTTGATAGTATTTGCATGGCACAGTATTCTGACCTGTTCAGAATACAACTGATGTTCTTAGAATATTTCTTGTTATCTTTTGATTATTTTATTTGAAGTTTTTTTCATAAAGTAGACATTCTTTTAAAAGTGACCTACCTTGTTTGATTGGTGTAGTGCATCTTCTGCTGTTTTTCTGTCACAAGTAGCAGCATACCATGCTTTACTATGAACACCAGCATCCTAGAAAGAGAGAAACAGTGTTTCACCTGTAAAATAATGATTATATGAAAAAGAATATGGCTTGTAGGAGAGTTACTATTAGATAACGACAGCTGTGAAGTACTCAAGTGCAGAACAGTTTAGAAAACATAGACTTTACAAGATTCTTTGCCAGGAACTCACTTTGTCAGATAGATGTAGGACAAAATAAAAAACTGTGTCAAACCAGTGGTAACTTATGTGTGGTAGAAGGTTGATATATGGCAGAAGAGAGAAAGATAACCCAAGGAAAATAGTCAGGTTTAGCTGGAGGTTAGTTTGGTATTTTTAAAGCAAGAAGCTGTTCTAGTAGAATTTAAAGAGGGTGTGCAGGAGGTGTTGAGGAATAAATTGACCATTAACAATTTAAATGCTACTCAGCTGTGGGCTAGCCAATGAAATATCCAGATTTAGTAGGCATCTAAGCTGTGGGAAATAAGTTTCCCATACACTTAATGCTATTTGTGAACAAGATCACAATTGCCTCTTCTGGACAGTAAGAAGGCTGGATTACTGTATCTTTTGCTGTTTTATTAAATAAGGACAAATGGATGGAGTCTTACAAAACAGAGAAGTAACTAATGGCTTTCCTCTACTAACACAGCAGTTCAGCTGCCAATGCTTTCACCTTAGACATGAGATACAGATTCAGTTCCAGCTTTCTGTTGGATTGAGTCTGAATATATCCTTACACTTGAAACACTGCTCTTATCTAAGAGGCATTAAACCGATGCGTACTGTGGAGAAGGATTACATCTGTGACAGAATACAAGAGCAGATATTATTTTACAATGTATCTCCTCTGGTGCCTGATTTTTATATGTTACGGTGTGAACACCTCACCAAGGTCATCCTTCTTTTCCCCATTCTTCTAAATACTTGGCAGTGTTCTGTACAGTAAACGTCCTTCAGTGGAAGACATGGGACAAAGGACTTCATGGATAGGGGCACAGATACAGACTTGGTACAAGGTAGAAAGATGGCCACCCTAACGATAAGTGGATTCTGTTTTAGAAGATAAAAGCTCATACAGCAAGGGAAGTGCAAGGATAAAGATGTGAGGAGGTGATGGCAGGTGGGAGTGAGTGGTAGGAGACTGTAATTTGAGTAAGATAAAAATTGATAAAAAACTAGGGGTGATGCAGGATTGAGTGTACATCTGAGAAAATGAGTGGAGTTTAGGGGAAAGGTATGGGGAAATTTAGAGAATTATGAAAAGAAAATATACTCAAGGGAAGGGCAAGACGTGGGATTAGAAGAAACATGAGACATGCATTGTGAGACTTCAATAGCTAGAAGATTAGCTAGCAGGGTATAAAAACAGCAATCATAAAAAGTGAGCTCTTACTGAGAAGGTTGATGCAAAAAGCTAACTCAGGTCAGTGGAGAGCCTATAGAAATAATACTAGGAGTATTTCCTAATGAATACTTCATGGTATTAATAATTTGAACAGTTCTGATCCAACTTTATAATAACAACCTTAACTATAAAATTCATTTTCATACAAGTTTTGTCACTTCTACAAAACAGATTAAAGATCAAGTTTCACATTATGGCTGAGCTGGTCTAGGTGGCTTATTGCTGCCAAAAAGGGAATGTCTTGGTTTCTTTCTTCTGCTCATTTTGTTACTCATCCGATCCCACAGAGAGATAATTCACTTTAATAATCTTGCAGCAAAAAAGCCTGCTACTTTTCTGTTTTGTCCCGTTTTGTGTTTGACTGCCAGGTTGCTTTTCTGTCAGTTTAGTGAGTTGGCTCAGTCCAGTGTAAGACCAGAGGAACAGCAGAAAAGCCTATGGCTGGGAGTGGAGTTGACAGTGATGAGAGCAGAGCCTCCATTTTGGGGGCATTGAACTAACTTCTTAGATTGGCTCAAGCCATAATACTTTACCTCCAAAGTTTGTCCACTGATTTGTCTAGTCACACTATTAATTTGAAAAAGACAGGATGAGATGAATTGCAAGTATGCAAGGTATTCAGCCACTCAGAGAATAAGTCCAGTAAACCAGTCTTTGTTCAACAGAACAAGAAATCAGTTGCCCCCAGACCTTTCTTCTAGCATTATCTGTGGCCCCTAATCTGGAAGCAGAGAGCTGCTGCCAGAGTTTGGATGGGGAACCAAACAAATAACCTTATGGGCATGAAGCATGTTTGTGAGTACATGTATTGTTCAGGATGCTACAGCAAATGATACCATTATACATGACTGATGGGAAAATAACATTTAACAGTTAATATATATTTATGTTTTTAAAACCAAAATGGATGCTTTATTAAGCTTTGGTTTTGCCCATGGCTGTTACATAAAAGCTGCAGCTATAATTGCTACAAGCTGTTTATTTAGTGTCTGCTGTATTGTTTATTTGAAGGGAATTTTTGTAATAAATATCCAGTATGACATACTGTTACAGTTCTTCCAAAACTTCAAGTCCTTTGTTTCTTCGCTATTGTATTATCTTTGTCATGTTAGGCTTTAGAACATTTCATGTTATTGGCTCTGCATAAGTGAGCTTTTGTTTTGTGCTCAACAGAACTATTTTTACCTTGTTTGTGACTAGTAGGATAATAAGAATGGCTTCCTGCATTTTGTGGTCTCCCTTCATCCAAAATGCTAATTGGAATACCACTGAAACAAAATTAACCTTGTATTTTCTTAGATTACTCAAAGCTTAATGTTGCAATGGAACACAGAAAAAAGAATTGATTGTAAAACTGACAGCATTAACTGTAATGAGGTCTGTTTAAAGGAACAGAAAGAGCAGGACTTGGGAGAGACTGAAACATGCGAGGGGAGGCATCAGAGCATCTTCTGAGGGGGGCAGCAGTGGCTTTCTTCTTGGTTCTTCCAACTTTGGTGACAACACCAAACTGCAATAAACAGGGCAATTTTCATAAAAGTGATTCCACCTTCTGCATCCTGCTGTGTTGGGCCAGTCAGCAGAGCATCCCTGTTTCCTCCTACAAATTTCTGGGAGTTCTTAGCACATCCCATCAGTGCAGGCTAATGCTAACAGCTGCAAATGGCTTCATTGTATCTGCTTAGTGCACGTTATTTTTTTTCAGGACACAGAATCTATAGCTATAAGTTAGAAAAAAACCCCCAGACAATTAAAAAATTCTTTGGAGCCATCTATATCAAAGACTAGACTAAATTTATGTACACATACCACCACAGATTTCCTTGTTTCAACTGATGTCAAAGTATTATAAATGGGAGAGTCAGGAAGATGTGAAACTAAGAAGCTTTTTTTTGGGTTTTCTTTAAAGTGACTGGTAGATTGCCAAAGTTTCGTATAATGCTATTTACATATTTTTCTACTATTTGTTAAAGCTCTTCTATGCTATGTGTTCTAAGCATTTTTTTTAGGTATGAAAGCTAACATTCTGGTTATTTGTGCTACAGAAAATCTTTACTGCAAAAGGGGACATGGATGCCCTCCACAAAAGGAGTATGGGGCTAGGGGCGGAAATACTACTAGTAAAGGATAAGAAGATTTCTGTACGTGAATTTAGCCAAAGTTATACCTGGTCTGTAGTACTTGAAATAGGTGAAACACTGCTGTGGGGCAAAGTACCCAGAGAACGGCTCGCAGCTTCTGGCACTTCTAGAAAAGAGAGAATAATATGGGCAAGTTTTCAAAGTATGTTTGTAAGAAATTGATTTGTTACAAGGACTTCCTAAGATCTGAAACTGTTTGGCCTTTGGTATCACTCAGGAAATCTATTGTAAATAGATGGGCCCTGTGTAAGTGCCTGAGACACTTGCCTGCTCAAAAGAGGAGAAACAGTTTTGTTAACAACTTTGTTAATAGCCAGAGCTCGACTTAAAATGCAAGAAAATCTCCCCACAACCACCTAAATGAATCAGTGTAGAAACAGATGCAGGAACACAATGCAAAGAGCACTCAATCCAGTGTGAGAAGTAGTCATATAGATGGAGGGAGTCAAGAAAACAAATACAGCTCAGAGATATTTTTTTTCACTAATTTAGTCCAACTGAAATGTTTGTATATGTGTGCAGGAAGTCTAGGAAGCTAAACAGAGAAGCAGAACTAATAAGAAAGGTATTGAAGCTTAATTATAATAACAAAGCATAGTAGAAAGTAGCTATTTGGGATGAAACAGATTTTGAAGAGCTTAAGAAATTAGAAGGGAAAGGGTTCAGTAGTGTTTCGTAGTAATTATATGATAGAAATACATGAAATAAGTATAGATAATTGTTTTCTGGTAGACCAGAATCCTGGCTAAAGATAGTACAGGTGTGTGCTATAGGCATCTGTGATCAGAGTTGGGTACAGATTAATATCATTGTACTAGAGAAGATAATTCTAGAAAGTTGAGTGTTACTTATTCTGTTATTATGAGAGGCTTTATTTCCTGTTTACTTATTTGGGAAAAAAAATACTATTAGGATTGTTAGCATTCACCTATTCCTGGACACGATACTTTGCAGGCTCCTTTATCAAATCTTCACTAATACTGGATTTAGATGCTGGGTTCAGAAAGCAGTAAGAACGTTACAGAAGAGGTCATACAGCGATTCAGAATTTAAAAAAAAAATGAGTTGGTGTGCAGAGCTCAAAAGACACCTATGTGAAGTAGGTTCAGAACTTGTTTTGAGGTGATAGATGCAACTGTCTGGAAGCCGCACCCTGAGTACAGGGGAGGCATTGTAAGGAGTAGTTCCAGTTTCCAGTGAATAACAACCTGAAGAAGCTATTAAGATTTTTTTTTTCCCTGTCAAATTTTGACTCACCTACAAAGCTACAGCTGAAAAGTCTGTTATATGAATAAAGTAAGAATTGCCAGAAGTCATGCTGAATTAAATTTTTAAAAGTAAATAAAAATAAATAATAAGAGATTCCCTTAGCTGTGTAAAAAGGAAAGAGAAATGAGGCTGTCTGCAGCAAGAATTTTGTTGATTTTAAGGATAATGTAGGTACTAAACCAAGAGTAGTTGTGGTACAGAAATAGAAATGTCCACAGCCAAATTGGAAGCAAAACTCAAATAGCTTAGTACAATTGAACTGGTGGGCCCAAGTAATCTTTATCCCAGAAATTTTTAAAACTGGCACATGAAATTACAGGCCAATGACAACTATTTTAAATAAATTTCAAGTCCAGGTGGTACAATATGATCAAAGAATACCAAATGTAATTGCTATACTTAGTGGAAAAAGTGACTGGAGCACCTACAGGCCTTTTTGTCTGACTCCACAGAACACAACCATTCCTAGGAGAAAATTTGAAGGAAAGAATATCAAGAGTTGGAGATAAAGGTACAACTAGCAAGAGAAAATCCGACATTTACCCAAGTAGATAAAATGTTATAGTTCTTTCATAAAGTAACAGACTTCTACACAGAGGTCATATGGTACTGTCCTTACTCTGGACTGCAGTAGAGCATTTGATACAGTGCCATATGGGAAATCAGTACTTTTTATGGAGAAGATGAAATTTGGCACTAGGCTTGTATGGTGACAAGGATATGCTGAAGGGACATTAATGATTTGGATCAATTGTATCTGATTAAGCTGTTATTTGACCTGGCACAGAATAAGAATGTGTTAAAGCAAGTTTACTAATTGGAACATCATTTAGCACCCAATGACCTTGAAGAATAGTTACACTTCATGCTATAAGTTGAAGCACATGAATTATTCTTAGGTATGTCTGCTCCTGTCACAGTAGTCACAGTAGCATGAACATGATCTGTTATTATACTTCCAGAGCATGGGAGATATAATTGTAATTATAAATAGGAGTAATAATAAAAGCATGTAAGTTTAAATTACACCACATGCAGATTTCTATGTACAATTCTCATCATTTGTTTACAGTGCAAAAAGTAAGTTCAGACTGAAGTATGTGCAGAAGAGGGCTTGTAGGAAGGTCAGATAGGTGTCTACTAACAAGAGAGAGAAGAATGTTAGACCTAATGTACACTTCTGTGTAAAGAGAATATACTTACTACCTAATTTGTTTTTAAGTGAGAACTGTAGTCCCTCTTTGAAAGTATTATTTACACAAGAGCCTTAGTGTTTGCCATTATAAAAATACCTTCTCTTTTTCTCTTCTGTACGCACAGAGTAAATTGCTGGATGCAATACTAATCTGTCTGGCTTCTAGGCAACAGAAGCCTGGAACAGCCCAGAAGTACTATATTTAGGGTTCTTCTGTGACAAGGAAAATTGATGGAATCTTTATGATGGCGACAGCTGACCCAAATTGCCTTTAGTAGGAATTTCCAATAGTCACAAATGGGAATGAAGCATCCAATTTATTTCTTTATACAGTAACTCTGACATACTCCCTTAATTTTACTAGCTGAGATAAACCTGATGTGTTTGCATGCATTACAGAGACAAGCATCAATTCTAAACTAACGCATATGTGTGGCATGTTAAAACAATCTTAATTCAAAGATCAATTTGTAATTATGAGTTAATAATTTTAATTCAATCTGAATTATTACTTACTTGGCAGAACTGAGGACTTTTGGAGCAAAGGCCTGAAATAAAGAGATTACAGAGAGGTCTGAGATCTGACGAGTCCTGAAAATATTAAAATTGTGTATTTGAAGTGCACAGTGGTAGAATGTGTTCCATCTCACCCATTTGTCCAGTGAGAAATAAGGGCCAGAAACAGGTATTTAAAAAAAATCATATCCCACTAGTACTGACAATTAGGAATTGAAATATCTGTTTTAGATCTCCATCATGTAACTAAAGATTATATCCTCCCGTGCTTTTGGGTGGTGGTGGTTATAGTATTTGGGTGCATTTGCCATGTTTTAGTTTTTGCTACTCTCAGGCTACAAGAAACATGACTTTCAAAAAGCAACAGAAGGCACAGAGGAAACAGTGCTTCTTTTTGAACTTCTCACAGCTGTGTTCAGATGGAGCAGTAGAAGCTGGTGCATTGAAATATTCAAAAGATGATGAAAAGGGATTTTACTTTTGGGCACCACTTGGAAGAGGTGGAAGCAGAAGCTCTTGGCTGGAACCTCGTCGTCTTTCTGCTGCTGTAGGTTTTTCTGTAGTTTGAGAAAACAAATCGTAGAGTCAACATTTCTTCAGAAATATATTGTCCCAGGTAAGAGAGTGCCAGTAGCTGAAGGAGGATTTCTTATATTATTGTAACTTTTGGGGGTTTCTGTTGTATGGCAGCTTGGCATCCTACTGCTTTCTTTATTAACTAGTGGCATACCACCAAATTTCTAGGCAGGTATCTGTGCTGTGAATGCCTGCAGGAGCTCCGTGGGAGACTTGCCTCCTGGGAGGCGAGCTCTGTGACACAGGGGAGGACGCTGGGGCAGGCTGCTCAGCTGGAGGAGGTGTGCCCAGCTGGCTGCATCTTACCCTTGTGTTAGACAGCAGCTCCTGCTGAGTTTTTGCCTGGAAGAGCTGCTGCCTCGCACAGAGGCGAGATGCATTTTCTGCCTGTGTAAGGGGCTGGCTCTTGGCAGGAGTCAGCTCTGTGTGAGGCGGTTCTTGCCAAGATCAGGATAATGCACTCGCACCTCCCCTCCCCTCCCCCTTCACTTGGAGAACCGTATGGCACATGGCTGGTCCATGATGTTGTAGGTCACCCTGCCAGTAACCTCAACAGTTTTACCGTGACTGCTTTTAGAGAAAAATGATGCTCGCTGCAACTAAGGATGGCTAGATCCAGTCTGAAACTGCTAAAACCATGTCCCTCTCAAACACTTAGAATAAATTCAATGTAGTGGTGTTTTTTTTTCATGTTTTTAATAAAAAGGAAATTAAATTCTGATAAATGGCAACTTTTTCACATTAGTGGAGATTGCTTACCTTCATTTGCAGTTAAGGTCTCTCTGGAAGGTAAACATGGTTTCTGCAATAAAACAAGGAAAACAAGTATTAAATGGCATGTGACTTGTACAGCAAAGTCAATCTTTTTATACTTTTTGTGAACTACTTCACATGTAGAACTGACAGCATTCTGGAGGGATTAGGAGGTGGGGACATGGTCATTCTATGAAGCGCCTCTAGTTGTATGACCTTGAAGCTTGGGAATTTGCACAGGAGATTTCGAAAGAATCCCAGTTTCTGTGTATAAGTAGATGGACAGAAATAAAATGTAGAGATGTGTGCTTGCTTTTTTTTTTTCCTAACTGCCACCAGTAAGGTTATGGTGTAGCAAACGGTTTGTTCTTATCTCAAGTCCAAAACTGAAGTAGTCCATTACAAATACTTATTAGTCAAGATTTGAGTATTTTCATCTTTGTTAAGCCATGCTCACAAATGTCTGAACACATTGCTTTTTCCTGAAAGTTAAACTGTCATCTTAGGCTCACAGTAAAAAATTGCCCAACATACCAGTTTCAATTTTTCTCATTTTGAAACAATGATAATAAACTGTCAGTTTTGAAACATTTTTCAAATTAATTTCTTTGAAAATTGCAACAAGTTCTCTCACTTTCACCCACAGAAGGTTTGGGGATATTTTTCCAGTGATGAAATATTTACTGGAAAACCTCTGACCAATTCTGGTAAAAATCCCACATTTTTCTTGAGCTTTCATTCTTACAATAAATCCGTGTTCCCCATATGCAGGCCTGTGTATATCAGGGAATACTTCTGAATGGTCTGTGTTCCCATTTCTCATTTTATTCAGTTCTTACACTGTGTTTGTTGTTACATCCTGAAGTATTGAATCCAAACATCCCTTCAATAAAAATATTTTTCTACTTGAGCTTTCTCACTACTGCATAGTTCATGGCACCCAAGTATTTCCTTTTTTTATAGCTCTCTCCCCTACTCTTTTCATGCATTTATGTTGTACCTAAACTCGTTATAAAATTAAGTTTTACAGTAAATTTAAAAACACCTGTAAAATTGTTTGATTATGCAATTACAAGTCAACTTACCGGTGAATTTACTGCATTGGAAGTTTTCTTCCTGCAGATTGGAAAAAAAAATAAGAGTATGGTTACTTAACAGATGCATGAATTTATTTAGCTGTAGCAGTTAGGGAAAAAAATGAGAAGAATAATAAGGGTGTCATATATAATGTGGGTACTCAAAAAAGGTTCTTAAAACATGAGAGAAAGTTACACTCTGTAGCATCCAATATTTAGGATCACAACTTGGGTGTGGCAGAAGAGTTTTAATGAAAACCACAACTTTCTGCATTTATAGGCATGCATGTGCTATTGCTGCAGTATATGACTAAATTGAACAAGCCAGACAGCATCTACCATCAATGGCAGGCACCGAAGGACAATGCCACTGGCATACAAACAGTACTCCTCCAGTAATAATAAAAGCTTACCTTTACCTAGTCAGGATATCTTTCATGAACAGCAATAAAAATTACTCCTGAATTTTGATGGCCACAGGTAAGGGTAGGAGTTAGCTCCTAATACACTTATTAACCCTATCCCCATCAAAGACATTTTATTATCTTTTACTCACAGGCCCCTTGGTAATGGAGATGGAGCTGCTCTGGTGGGAAATCTGCATTCTTGTGTGTTATTGAAGCTATGATCTAGAGATGCAAATCACATAATTAGTATGCAATATTAGCTGTCTCTGAACAGTGCGTTTTCCTCCCTACCGTTTCAGTGTTAACGCAGTGAAAATATTCAGTTGTTTAATTTTTGTCTTAACATGTTTGCACTCTGGTTATACTAGAAATCAGTTCAGTAACATTTCTTGCTTATTGCTGACTGTTAAAGAGAAAATTTACACTGACACACTCCACTACGTGTTATTTTAAGGTCACCAGTGACCTACTGACAACAAATCCCTCTCATATTGCCATGTTTTCAGTATATAATACTTACTTTCATCATTGTTGTTTGCTTCATGGTCCTGTAATGGAAAAATACATTAGGTTTGATAGAAGCAACTAGAGAAGGAATTATTAAATGGGAAGTACATAAACTAGTCTTGGTAATCTGTAGTAATGTTTAAAGAAATATTTGTACAGAATGCATATAAATATCCAGAATAGTTTTCAATAGCTTTTATGATAGAGTATGAAAAATTTTAGCAAACATCAATCTAATTCATTTTGAACATTATAATAACATTGAGATTGCTTGTAGTGTTGAGAAAATCAGCCCTGAATTTTGCAGCAAGATCTTTTGGTTCATGTTTCATTTCCAAGCTGGAAAGCAGAAATTTTGCAGCAGATTTAAATATACTATCATAGAATCATAGAATCATAGGGGTTGGAAGGGACCTCAAAAGATCATCTAGTCCACCCCACCCCCCCTGCCAGAGCAGGGTCACCTAGAGTACATCACACAGGAAGGCGTCCAGGCGGGTTTTGAATGACTCCAGTGAAGGAGACTCCACAACCTCTCTGGGCAGCCTGTTCCAGTGCTCTGTCACCCTCACAGGAAAAAAATTTTTCCTGATATTCACCTTGAACCTCCTGTGCTCCAATTTGCACCCATTACCCCTTGTCCTATCACAGGTCATCACTGAAAAAAGCTTAATTCCATCTTCCTGACACTCACCCCTTACATATTTGTAAACATTGATGAGATACTACTCATACTAAGAACACATCTTCCACTAGAATGGAGGATACTGAGTAGACTGTCTTTTCATGATGCTAAAATTTAAGTGATCCAACCCATCTCCCAGCTTCTTTTGAAGGTGTTTTCTTTTGGCTCCCACTTCTTGTCTTTTAGGGAATCAGACTCCCTTATGACAAGTACCTTTCAAAGAGGCACCAGTTATAAATTTGTCCACCTTCATCCATCATGTTAATGGGTTTTCACTAATGCTGGTCACAAATGCATCCATTCTCTGGTTAGAGAGGTGTAATCCATCATCCAACAGTTGATGGAGTCAAACAGGGAGAAATTTTTCTCCCAGTCAGCCCAGGCCTTTGAGAGGAACAAGGGTTACAATTCTGTTAACATGATCAGTGCTGGTTAGTGTTGAGAATGGATTGAATGGGAGCAGTTAACAGATGTTCCAGGGATTTGTCAGTATGCATAGTCAGGGTTGGAAAGGCACAACACAGCACTGGACAAACATCATGCTCATTACTGTGTTTTTCTTTAACACTGCAAAGGCTGGCCATTTTCACAATAAGCAAAGGCCCAAGAATTTGGACTACACTGTGTATTTTTTTCCTAGGCTGACTCTTGTGCCAGACATGGTAACTGCAGGTACCCAGGAGCTGAATACACCCCTTGTACAAATGGGTGGTGTTTTGGGAGCTCCATCCTTAGTGCTGTAACTCACGCAGTGTGTAGCCACAGCAGAATGATAGTTTTTCTTAATTCTCTGCAAAGTTAGGATGATACCATCTCAGAGGTAATCTCTGAGAACAAATTAATGGAGAAGTCCCAGCTGCAATATGGCACTCAAGTCTGTTTTGAAGCAGGAGTATTCTTGTTAGTGCTTATCAGAGAGTAGAATTTCTGTTCAACATTGACCCCAGAAGGATTTAAAAAAAAAAAAAAAAATCTTATAATCTTATCATATTGTTAAGAAAAGCTGAGAAATCAAACCATTTCATAAAAGAGAACTCCTGGTCTTAGCACCACTCATGAGGTGTAAGGGAATCTAAAACGCTGCTGCCATTATATGTAGAGGTGTGCAACACACCCCCACTCCAAAACACCTGGTATATCTAGCAGTGGAGTGCAAGTAAGACTATAAGAAGTTCTCATACCACCTGCATTACGTTACCATAACATCTAATGCTAAGGTATGACCCCAAATTCCTAAAGTTAAGCATTTAATTTCTCTATGTAGTTACTGATAGACTGATTATTTCTTAAAACCTGTTCAGAGCATTGGGCTGGGAGAGAGTTTGATGCACATACTTCTTGGAACAGATGCTGATGCAGTTACTGTCATGCTGTTTCTTGGTAGTTTGTTCCTCATGCACACTGTCTCTTGTGCTAACACAATTGTTAGTAGAGCTATGGTGCAGAACAACTTATGGAACTAATCTGGCTGCAAAAGGAAGTTTTTATGCACTTGCTTTTGCCCACTTGCTGCAGTTAGACAAGTTTCCCAGTAGTTTGCTTCAGAAAACAAAGGTTTGCTAACAGTGCAAGAGAGGGACTGGGGACAAGCAGAGAGGAAGAAGAGGAATGACTTAAAATACAGCCTTAGGAACACAAAGTTTGTAATTACTCCTTTATGAACTGCATTTTCTAGTGATACTGGTTACTCAGACTACTAAGTCTGACCTTTTAGAAAGATTCCATTTTCAGAAAGTACTAGTCATTCATCTGAGAAAAATGAGGCTCAAGGATGGTGCTTTAGATTGGGTAAAATCACCAGTTACTACTGAAAGTAACGTTCCTGGAGTTCAGCTGGTATTTTTTTTATTAGAAAATATTAGGGTTTTTTTTGTGGACTGAGATGCATATCCCTTAAAACATTTGAAGTTTTTCTTGGATCAGTACAGATGTCCACTGTACCAAAAGAGTAATAGCCACAATTACAATATTAGATCTATCTGACATTGAGTAATCTGTTATTTAATCCAGGATAATAAAAAGCATCTATCTTTATATATATATATATATA